AAGTCGCACCCGATGTGATCATGGTGTAAAAGTATACTTCACCTTTTTGGAAAAAAAATGGAAAAACATTGAATTACAAAAAAATAGCATTCATTAAATTTTTGCATTGAAGCCTGCAGAACATTGCAACTGTAATCAGTGTGTCGCAGGTACAGTCCCAAGTCTATATGGAGGTATGGATCTTGTGTTATGGGGCTGGAGGAAGTACACTATGGACTACAAGTGTGTGATCTGTGAGTCCCTCTGCTGCAGAGGCAGATAGGACTTGCAGTCTTCCTATTCACAGGTCTTCCTGAATTGATGATGCAGCAGCTGTGGGGACAGAACCCTGCACAGCTGACCTCAATCCAAACACATACAGGCTGCTGCAAAAAGAAGCATCCTACGAGTCAGGTGAGCCCTGGTTCACACTGGATGCAACTTGGCATGCGATTTGCATGCCCTGTGAATTGCAAAGTGCATGCCAAGTCACACCCTATTGTCTGCAATTGGAGCGGTCAAATCCGTGCCATTCCAACTTGGCCAGAGCAGCACCGATTTCAAAAGTAGTATATGCACTACTTTTGGTGCGATTTGCATAGACATCTGTGTCAGCTGTAAGGGCAGCACAGTGGCTAAATGGTTAGCACTTCCGTCTGGCAGTACTAGGGTCGTTGGTTTGAATCCCAACCACAGCACCACCTGCCTGGAGTTTGCATTTTCTCCCTGTACCTGCATGGGTTTCCTCTGGGTACTCCGGTTTTTCCTCCCACACTCCAAAGACATGCTGGTAGGTGAACTGGCTCCTGTCTAAATTGGCCCTAGTATGTGTATGTATGAATGTGAGTTAGGGACCTTAGATTGTATGCCCCTTGAGGGTTAGGGACCTTAGATTGTACGCCCCTTGAGGGTTAGGGACCTTAGATTGTACGCCCCTTGAGGGTTAGGGACCTTAGATTGTACGCCCCTTGAGGGTTAGGGACCTTAGATTGTACGCCCCTTGAGGGTTAGGGACTGATGTGAATGTACAATATATATGTAAAGCGCCGTGTAAATTGACAGCGCTATATAAGTACCGGAAATAAATAAATAATGTCTTGCAAAACGCACCTGAAATCGTCAGGTCCCCCGATTTTGAAATCGTGCGACTTCACTGTAAGTCGCACGATTTCAAAGTCGGGCTTGATGTGAACAGAAGGTAAGTTGGTGGGGGGAAGGCTGTCTGAGGGTGGGGAAGTTAGGAATGCAACCAGGTTGCATGTTACACCCCCAATATGGTTTTTAAATGATAATTTGGGGTCCATTTATAAAACATTTTGGCTGTAATTTTTTTAATAGATTTATTCCTTTGAACGTCAGCCTCATCTAGTGGCCAAAATGCAATATATTTTCTCTGGTATCTCAGCAAACGATACTGCATTTTGGCCACTAGATGGAGCTGACGTCCATAGGAATTATTCCATTAGAGAACCGATGGCAACCATTCATGCAACATGCACAAGCAGGGGTGGACTTACCATTCCAGTACTCGGGCATTGCCCGAGGGCCCAGGGTCAGTAGGGGGCCCCATGAAATGCACCTGGTACCTTTTATAGGCTTTTTCTGAGTGTGGACAAGGACACAGGGGCCCCATGATCCCCTATTGCCCGGGGGCCCCATGAGTTGTCAGTCCGCCCCTGGGGCGGACTGACCATTTGGAAACTCAGGCACTGCCCGAGGGCCTGGGGTCAGTAGAGGGCCCCATGATATACCCCTGGTACTTTTTCCATAGGCTTTTTTGAGTTTGGGCAAGGGCACAGGGGCCCCATAATCCCCTATTGCCTGGGGGCCCCATGAGTTGTCAGTCCGCCCCTGTGCACAAGTGTGTGTGACATTCATCCAACAAATGTTTAATTAATACATCCCATAGTGTAAAATGTGGACAATACCTTTAAATAAATACAGCTTATTTACAACTATAGTCATTTTAGTATATTTTGCTGCTTCAGAAATTTGTTATATCGAATATCTTGTCCCGCTGCCAGTAATAACCCCATTTGACGTGAAGTCAACAAAGACTGGAATTTCTTTTCCTCTGTATTTGGGTTCACACCGCCCTGTTGTGTGACCCAGTGATAAGGACTAGGGAGTTCCCTCTCTCTATCTGTATGTCAAAACTGGTCAGCTTCCACCATGACCTTGAATGTTATTCAAGACTATTCAACGTATACAGAATGTGCACATCGCAGCTTAGAGGGACAATCCACGGGGGGGCTTGTGCTCCTCAAATATGCTATTGTACATTCATGAAAATGCATAGCTATGACATCCGTTCCTCTAGAACCCATACCCACTAGTCCAGTATCAATGCTCATTGCATTAGGGGGGCCTCACATTGCATTTTGCATTCAATTGTACAGGATTGTCAAAAAAACTAATTTAGCTGACAACCTACACTTGGAATTTCGGTTTTACAGGATAGACAGTTAGTTGTGTATTTATAAAAAAAAAAAGTGCAGATCTATTTGTCCTGCCTGTTTGTTCTGCGTGAATAGAGGCAAAATCAAATGTTATTATTTTATTTATTTCAGGTACTTATATAGCGCTGTCAATTTATGCAGCACTTTATATATAATATATATATATTGTACATTCACATCAGTCCCTAACCCTCAAGGGGTGTACAATCTAAGATCCCTAACTTACATTCATACATACACATACTAGGGACAATTTAGACAAGAGCCAATTAACCTACCAGCATGTCTTTGCGAGTGTAGGAAACCAGAGTACCCAGAGGAAACCCATGCAGGCACAGGGAGAACATGCAAACTCCAGGCAGGTGGTGCCTTGGCTGGGATTTGAACCAACGACCCTAGTATTGCCAGGCAGAAGTGCTAACCATTTAGCCACTGTGCTGCCAATCTTTCTAGGTCTAATGCTATTCTTTATACAAAATAGAATGAAACAAGAAAATACCACATTTTGGCCACTCGATGGAGTTGAGAATAAGTATTTATTTCCTTTGATCATCGGCTCCATCTAGTGGCCATAATGCAGCATTTTCATGACTCTGTGCTGCATAAATGAAGACCTTTCAACCTGGAGAGAAATTAGCCTACTATACACATTTGACTTTGCCTCTATTTGCATATTCAGAAGGTGAACAGCTCTGCAATTTTCTTCTATTTTTATTTTTTCATAAATACACACCTTAGAGCAGGGGTGGGCAAACTTTTTGACTTGAGGGCCGCAATGGGTTCATATATTGGACCCGGGGGCCGGACCAAGAGTAGATGAATGATGTGTATGTGTCATCCATAGTAAGTATAGTAATATTCCCCCATAGTAAGCATAGTAATTAATCCCCCATATAGTAATTCATCCCCCATAATAATTCATCCCCCATATAGTAATTCATCCCCCATAGTAATTCATCCCCCATATAGTAATTCATCCCCCATATAGTAATTCATCCCCCATAGTAATTCATCCCCCATATAGTAATTCATCCCCCATAGTAATTCATCCCCCATATAGTAATTCATCCCCCATAGTAATTCATCCCCCATATAGTAATTCATCCCCCATATAGTAATTCATCCCCCATAGTAATTCATCCCCCATATAGTAATTCATCCCCCATATAGTAATTCATCCCCCATAGTAATTCATCCCCCATATAGTAATTCATCCCCCATATAGTAATTCATCCCCCATAGTAATTCATCCCCCATATAGTAATTCATCCCCCATATAGTAATTCATCCCCCATATATAATTCATCCCCCATATAGTAATTCATCCCCCATATAGTAATTCATCCCCCCATAGTAATTCATCCCCCATATAGTAATTCATCCCCCATAGTAATTCATCCCCCATATAGTAATTCATCCCCCATATAGTAATTCATCCCCCATAGTAATTCCCCCCATATAGTAATTCATCCCCCATATAGTAATTCATCCCCCATATAGTAATTCATCCCCCATATAGTAATTAATCCCCCATATAGTAATTCATCCCCCATATAGTAATTCATTCCCCATATTAATTCATCCCCCATATTAAGTCCCCAAGTCCCCCCTGTGTCAATTCACTTACCTTTGCTCCGCGCGTTCCTCTCGCCGTGTTCCCGCGCCGTTCCGGTGTAGCATGAAAATCTGTCTCCTATGAGGATCTGTCCCCCTCGACGTATCTGCGCATGTGCCAGTTTCAGGCATTAGCAGCCGATCGGCGATCTCCGGCACATGCGCAGATACGTCGAGGGGGACAGATCCTCATAGGAGACAGATTTTCATGCTACACCGGTCTTCAGGGCGGACTGTGAGAGGAGCCTAGCTCCCCTCACGTTCGTCACGCTGCCCCACCTACACACATCCTGACAGCCATCCTGACAGTATCACGCTCCGCAGGCCGGATTAAAAGGTCCGCCGGGCCGTAGTTTGCCCATTGCTGCCTTAGAGGAAGGCTGCCAAACGGGCAGCTCTGCAGCTGTTGTGAAACTACAAGTCCCATCATGCCTCTGCCTTTGGGAGTCATGCTTGTAACTGTCAGTCTTGCAATGCCTCATGGGACTTGTAGTTTGGCAACAGCTTTAGGGCCCCCAGTTTGGCAACTGTGCCTTAGAGAGTCTAGACACATTTCATAGTCATGCTATCAATCTTATGTTCCTCAGTGGCAGTTGTCAAGATTTTAATTTCCAGATATGCTTTGCTGGTGAGCTGTAGGACCACAAATCACTCCATACGATTTTTTGAACACACGTGCCTGTCTGCTAAAGCCGGGAGGAATCAGTCAGAATCAGTCACTTGTGATTTTATATGCAATTACAAATAAAAGATGTTTTATAGGACAAGAGGATCTGCTGAGGATTTACATGGCTTGCAACTGTTCAGCCTTTAGCCACAGAGGCAGCAGACAGGGTTATATACATTTTATTTATTTCAGGTACTTATATAGTGCCATCAATTTACATTGTACATTATATTGTACAGTCACATCAGTCCCTAACCCTCAAGGGGCGTACAATCTAAGATCTCTAATGCAGGCCATAGATGGGTCAAAAATCAGCCGATTTTTCTTTAAAAAAACGAAAAAAATCGGTCCTTCAAGCGGCCGACGTTACCAGCAACAGTAAAAAAAAAAAAAAAAAAAAAAAAAAAAAAAAAATCGGCCGATTTTCATCCCGTCTACAGCCGGCAAAAAGTGTCCCTGCAGAGAGCTCCGCTATTTCTTTGACAGTTCCTTGACATTTATAGCGGTTGCAACAATGTATCTATTTGTATCCATTTAGGATACAGATGGTTTTATTCGGAAACAAATAGATACATTGTTGCAACCGCTATAAATGTCAAGGAACTGTCAAAGAAATAGCGGAGCTCTCTGCAGGGACACTTTTTGTCGGACTGGAATAACTCTTCTTCATCCTCTTCTTCTTCTTCCTCTTCTTCATCCTCTTCTTCTTCTTCAGCCTTTTCTTCATCCTCTTCTTCTCTTCTTCATCCTCTTCTTCTTCTTCTTCTTCATCCTCTTCTTCATCCTCTTCTTCATCCTCTTCTTCTTCATCTCTTCTTCTTCATCCTCTTCTTCATCCTCTTCTTCTTCATCCTCTTCTTCTTCATCTCTTCTTCTTCAGCTCTTCTTCTTCATCTCTTCTTCATCCTCTTCTTCAGCTTCTTCATCCTCTTCTTCAGCTTCTTCATCTCTTCTTCAGCTTCTTCATCCTCTTCTTCAGCTTCTTCATCCTCTTCTTCAGCTTCTTCATCCTCTTCTTCTTCATCCTCTTCTTCATCCTCTCCTTCTTTTTTCATCTTCTTTTTGTCTTCCTCTTGCAGGTCACTGCTCATGCGCAGATTTTTTTATCAGTAAAAAGATCGACCGATTTGCCCATCATTGCCGCGAAAATCGGCCGATCGGCAAAATCGGCCGATTTTTTCCAACTTTACCGATAAAAAAATCTGCCAAAATACCAAAAAACGGCCGAACAATTAGCCCACTAACGATCCGAAAATCGGCCGATTTTAGACCCATCTATGGCCTGCATGACTCACATTCATACATACATGTACTAGGGCCAATTTAGACAGGATCCAATTAACCTAACATCATGTTTTTGGAGTGTGGGAGAAAACCAGAATACCTGAAGGAAACCCACGCAGGCACAGGGAGAACATGCAAACTCCAGGCAGGTGGTGCTGTGGCTGGGATTTGAACAAACAATCCTAGTACTGCCAGGTGGAAGTGCTAACCACTTAGCCACTGTGCTGCTCTATATACATGTGCATGAGCCCTAAAAGCTGCAAAGTCTTCCTAAGGCTGGGTTCAAACGTTTGCGTTTGATCCGTTTCTGCAGTGCTTTTTTCAGTGCGTTTTTGCACATGTGTTTTTGCTGCGTTTTGAGGCATTTTGCATTTTTTTTCCAACTTGTTGCTGGGCAGATTAAAACGCAAAACGCATCACATGCTTTTCTGTAATGTCTCCATTGAAGTCTATAGAACCAAAAACACAATGTTTTGCACTTTAAAAAAAAAAAAAAGTCCCTGAGCCTGGGTTCACACTGATGCCGTGCAGAATTCGCACCGGTTTCTGTGCGAATTTTACATCACAATTGCACCCCATTCATGTGAACCGCTACGGGTGTGTATGTTAACAACACCCCGAAATCGGTTTGCAAAATATGGTGCGATGTGCAGAATCGGATCGCCTTGGTTTACATACCCATGCGATCTGATTCTAGTACGGACCAAAAAAAGGGTCCTGCGCCTTTTTGGTGCAGATGTGGTGCGATTTGAGCCTACAAAATGTAAGGTTCAAATCGCACCACATAGAATTTGCATGTGATTTGCACAGGAATGCGGTGCGGTTGCTGTGTGGATCACATGCGATATGCCGCACTGCAGGAGTGTGAACCCAGGCTCACCCTTTCCAAAAAACGCACCAGGTGAAAATGCGGAGATGTGAACCAGTACCATAGGAAATCATGTTCGATGGACTGCTGTGCATTTCTGCAAAACACAACAGAAAATGCACAGGTGTGAACCTAGACTAAGGCTGGCCATACACTATACAATTTTCTGCCCAATTTCCTTTAGATTTATCTTAAACTATGTAGTGCAAGGGCCTGTCTAATTGGATACAATTGAAAGTGTTGTTTAGGTTTGACCTCATATTATATGGTTTTTGGTAAATCTAAAGCAAAATTCTAAAGAAAATTGTATAATGTATGGCCAGCCTTATGCCGGCCATAGACGGGTCGAAAATCGACCGATTTTCGCACTGTTAGTGGATTGGTCGGCCGTTTTTTCGGGCTTTTTGCACATTTTTTTTATCGGGCATGTTGCAAAAATTCGTACACAATTTTGACGATTGGACGATTTTCCCAGCAATGATGGGCAAATCGGCCGATCGTTTTACCGATAAAAAATCTGCGCATGAGCCGTGACCTGCAAGAAGAAGAAAAAGAAGAAGAAAAAGAAGAATTCCAGTCCGCTATTATATTTTATATGAAAAAGTATTGCGGTTGCAACAATATATCCATTTGTATCCGAATAAAAACATGTGTATCTGAAATGGATACAAATGGATACATTGTTAGACTTTTCATATAAAATTAATAGCGGACTGGAATTCTTCTTCCTCTTCTTCCTCTTCTACTTCCTCTTCGTCTTCTTCTTCATCTTCTTCTTCGTCTTCTTCTTCTCTCCCCTGTGTGCTCCCCTGTCTTTGCAAGGAACAGAAGTAATTATGGGGTTAAATGCTGGCCATAGACAGGACGAAAATTGGCTGATTTTTTTTACCGTTGGTGGTAACGTCGGCCAATTGAACAATTTTTTTTAAACGGCTGATTTACGACCCGTTTATGGCCTGCATTAGGCTTGGTTCACATCTGTGTGGGTGGTGCCACTGCAGGACATGCACAAATGCCTGCAGCCGTACCACCCACACAGAGGAATGCGGGACCCGCCGGGCGGGTGCCATTAATTCTGATGCGCTGGAAATTGCAACCGTACTGGGAACCTCAGTTCCCGTGTGGGCTGCGATTTCCAGAGAAGTGCAGGGACTTCTTCCTTGCATATCAAATGAATGGGCTCTCGTACCCGTGCAAATCGCGGGCTGAATAAATGTGAACCTGGCCTAAGAGAATGACTGAGCAATATCTCCTTGTCACCCTTACCCAGCCCTCCCCTGATATGTGTCACTCACAGTACAGCACAGGATTCACACGTTATCTACAGGGCTGCAGTGTTCATGTAGGAGCTGACATTGTTTCCTGAACACGCAGACATCTGTGGGTGCCTGTGCGGCTAACACCAATACTTTAACCGTCATGGATTTTTGTGGTTTCATCTCTTGGACTTTTCTGCTCATCATTGGCATCATTGGCACTTGTTTCCTACTGTACTGTGGTTACATCTACTATATACATGGAAAGTATGACCACATCCCTGGACCCCCCAGGAACAGGTAAGATGCTTTCTTTATTGTATACAGTTGCAAGAAAAAGTATGTGAACCCCTTGGGATTACGTGGAGTTTTGCATGAATTGGGCATAAAATGTGCTCTGAACGTCATCTAAGTAACAACAATAGAAGAACACAGTCTGCTGAACATAATACTACACAAACATTAGATGTTGCCATGGTTTAATTGCACATAACATGTAAACATTCACAGTGCAGGGAGGAAAAAGTATGTGAGGCCCTAGCTTAATGACTTCTCCCAGAGCTAATTTGAGCCAGGAGTGAGCCAACCTTGACTCCAATCAGTGTGATGATATTGGATGTGTTGCTGACAGCTGTCCTGCCCTTAAAAAACACACACCTGTTTTGGGTTTACTGGTTTCAAGAAGCACTGTCTGATGTGAACCATGCCTCGCAGAAAAGAGCTCTCAGAAGACCTACAATCGAGAATTGTTGACTTGCATGAAGCTGGAAAGGGTTACCAAAGTATCTCCAAAAGCCTTGATGTTCATGTGTCCACGGTAAGACAGACTGTCTACAAATGGAGAAAGTTTAGCACTGTTGCTACTCTCTCTAGGCGCGGTCGTCCTGTAAAAATGACTGCTAGAGCACAGCGCAGAATGCTGCATGAGGTAAAAAAGAATCCCAGAGTGTCAGCTAAAGACCTACAGAAAATCTCTGGCACATGCTAACATTTTTGTTGATACATCTACAATAAGGAAAGCATTAAAAACAAGAATGGAGTACATGGGAGGACACCACGGAGGAAGCCATTGCTGTCCAAAAAGAATATTGCAGCACGTTTGAAGTTTGCAAAAGAGCACCTGGATGTTCCACAGCACTACTGGCAAAATATACTGTGGACAGATGAAACCAAGATTGAGTTGTTTGGGAAGAACACACAACACTATGTGTGGAGAAAAAAAGGCACAGCACACCAACATCAAAACCTCATCCCCACTGTAAAACATGGCAGAGGGAGCATCATGGTTTGGGGCTGATTTGCTGCCTCAGGGCCTGGACGGATTGTTGTCATTGATGGGAAAATGAATTCCAGAGTTTATCAAGACATTTTGCAGGAAAACGTACGACCATCTGTCCGCCAACTGAAGCTCCGCAGAGGATGGGTGATACAACAGGAGACAATGACCCAAAGCATACAAGTAATTCAACAAAAAACAATGGCTGCAACAGCACAGAATAAGCCTTCTGGAGTGGCCCAGTCAGAGTCCTGACCTCAACCCGATTGAAATGCTGTGGCATGACCTTAAGAGAGCGATTCACACCAGACATCCCAAGAATATTGCTACGCTGAAACAGTTTTGTGAAGAGGAGTGGTCCAAAATGACTCCAGATCGTTGTGCAGGTCTGATCTGCAACTACAGGAAACGTTTGGTGGAGGTTATTGCTGCCAAAGGAGGGTCAACCAGTTATTAAGTCCAAAGGTTCACATACTTTTTCCTCCCTGCACTGTGAATGTTTACATGTTATGTGCAATTTAAATCATGGCAACATCTAATGTTTGTGTAGTATTGTGTTCAGCAGGACTGTGTTCTTCTATTGTTGTGACTTAGATGACGTTCAGAGCACATTTTATGCCCAATTCATGCAAAACTCCACGTAATCCCAAGGGGTTCACATACTTTTTCTTGCAACTGTAGCTTTAGGGCCCCTGTATGTGGAACTTTGGATAGGAATGATTTTCTTTCCCATACAAGCAGGGGCGGACTGACCATTTGGAAACTCGGGCACTGCCCAAGGGCCCGGGGTCAGTAGGGGGCCCCATGAGATGCCCCTAGTACCTTTTTCATAGGCTTTTTTGAGTTTGGGCAAGGACACAGGGGCCCCATTCTCCCCTATTGCCCGGGGGCCCCATGAGTTGTCAGTCCACCCCTGCATACAAGTCAACTTGAATGCAAACCATGGCACAAGCAGCTGGATGCATCTTAGAAGCAGCTTGAGGCGATTCCTTGAGAAAAGAAAATCAAAGCATCTCAGAAGTACCTGAAAGCATACTGCATTTGACTTGCTTCTGAATCTGATCCATGTGTACATTACATTTTAACCTTTTCATTACCAGAGCTGTTTTTTGTGTTTTTTTCACACTTCTTTCAAAAATCATTTTAGACCCGAAGATTAGTTAAAACCCCCAAACATTAAATATTTTCTGAAAGCAGAGACTCAGGGACCCTGGAGAATATTACAGTGGTAGTTCCAGTGGCGTCCCCGAGGCAGGTGCGGGGGGGTGCGGTCCACACCGGGTGACACCGACTGCATGGGGTGACACCGGACCCGCTCCACAAAAAGGTAAGATGTAAAGCAAGCCAATGATCCCCGCAGGATGGATCCGATCCATCCTGTGGGGATCGTCGGCTTTCTTTACAACTTACCTTTTCTTGGAGGGGGTCCGGTGTCACCCCGTATAGGTTGGATGCCGACGATCCTGCGGGGATCATCGGCATGCAACCTATACAAGGTGACACCGGACCTGCTCCAAGAAAAGATAAGTAGTAAAGAAAGCCGACGATCCCCGCAGGATGGATCGGATCTGCGGATTGAGCATAATGGATCGGAGTCCGATCCATTATGCTCAATCCACAGATCCGTTCCATTCTGTTGGGATCGTCGGAGGGGGTGTCACCAAGTGTTACCGCACCGGGTGACACCAACCCTAGGGACGCCTCTGGGTAGTTCCCTATTTTTGTCACACGATAGTAGTACAACAGTTGGCCAAGCACACATCTTCAGAGAAAATACAAAGAAGTTCATTTTAGGGGACAGAAACACAAATTTTTGGTAAAACCTAAAACATGAGGTTGCTCCGAGTAAAATAAATGGCCAACATGTCATGCATTAAAATTGCGTATACCCACCACTACAAATGTTATTATCCAAAATTATCCATAGGCAACATTTAAACGGACGTTCAGGTCATCAGCTTAGAGTTAACTGCACATAATGGCCCTATAATTGTTGCTCCCACTGTGCATGGCAATATGTAACATGGGTAGCGCAATCAACATTTTCATATGTAAGCACCCCGACACGTGTGTTTACTTTCGTATGTGTGAGTATGTGGTTGGGGAGGGTCTCAAAATAAATTTTGTTTTTTTATGGGGGGTGAAGTGCTGGGTGAAACCATTTTTTTGAACTTTTTGTTTTTTCATGTAACTATTTTTTTTTTTATAGGGGACCAAAAGTCCCTTTTGTAATTGTATTTTCCTATGACAGGTTCTCTTTAATGAGACATTAGGGGGTTTATTTACTAAAGCTGGAGAGTCCAAAATCAGACTCCCTTCTGCATAGAAATCAATCAGCTTCTAACCTCAGCTTGTTCAATGAAGCTTTGGCAATGAAACCTGGAAGCTGATTGGTTTCTATGCAGAAGGGAGTCTGATTTTGGACTCTCCAGCTTTAGTAAATAAACCCCTAGGGGTCTATTAGACCTTTGATGTCTCGCCTGCCTTCCACTGAAGCTAAAGAGTGCAAATCATGCTCCATTAGCTTCCTGTCTGGCCGCAGCTGAGGCCAAGCGAAAGTGATGTAATGAATGTCACTTTCATGTTCACCTCCGGTGGCACTCATCATGGGTGAGACAGTGGAACTTGGGAAACATAACAGGGGAGGATGGGCACTATTTGATGGGCAAGTTGATCACTTCCACCTGACAGCTGACAATTGGCTTCCCCGTTGCTGCCAACATATGACATACATCAGTTGCAGCAAAAGGGTTAAGGCTACAATGTAGTATTGGGCTCCAATAATTGTAATAACTTTTCATTCACAGGGTAGGAATGTCATGTTGTGTGTAGCATTGTGCTAGGCTGGAAGTTCTCCACAAGTACAAGAGCAAGGGTGTCACTAGCACTCTTCATGTGAGGGACCATCGCGACACATGGGTCTACACAGGCGTAGGTGTCTGCCAAGACTTGTAGGTGGCAGGGCACTAGGACCCAGGCGCACCTGTCGTCTTGACAGTACT